ACAATACCATATGCTTCATTTTTTATGCTGTAATTTGAATCAAGAGTCAAAATAAGTGTGTAAGACACATATAATTGTCACGTGGACTGTGGGTTTTGTTGTTATTCTTGAGTTACTTTAAAATTAAATTTGAGAGTTTTCTAGCATATGTTTAAAACATGACAATCTATTACAAAATCTAAACTAGCACATTAAAACTGAAAAAGTAAGACACTTGTGTGCATCTCTAGATCCAAGAGTGTCATGCAGTGAGGAGATGAGGGAATCTTAGTCTGTGCATTTTCAGTCTGGATATTTAGACACGTAGCACATAAATCATTGGAATCAAGGCTCTGAAACAGAAGTTAGCTGTCTAAATCAGAGGACCCAAGTTTTTGCTCGTTATTTTATGTATTTAGCACCTGGCATTTCTGTTCCACCCCAGTTACAAAATTTTCCAATGGTAATATGCTGAACAACTGTTAATGATTCTGGATATTGCATTCCATATGACAGCCTAAGTCTGTGACAGAAATCCTATAACATATCATAGCACACATTAGCATTATTTAGACAGATTACACTTCCTAGAGTCACAGCTACATCCAGCAAAATAAGAGACTAGAGTCTTATTTTTGTCTTATTTTTTGCTTGTTTTAAGTGTAGGTAGCCCTCACCAAACCATGACTCCTAATATATTCTTATTTTACTATACCCCTTAGTACACCTAGCTAGTAGTACATGAATGCAATGGTTTAAGAAAAAGAAGCTTATAATTTAGCCACTGTGTTTAGCCACTACCCCCTTGCAGAGCAGAATTCCCCAGTTTAAAGTGGCAGATGAATGCTCAACTAAAGTTGACACTCTGACCTTAACAAAGTATTAAGCCATGCAGTGTAATTAAAAAAACTGGACATAGATTGTCTCTTTCAAAACATTTAAATATCTATCCTCTATTCCTTATTATATAATCATTAAAAGTTTTTAAAAATCAAATAATTTTCACTAATATGGACATCACATCATATAATCCTTTTAGTAAACCCAAATCATATCTTCATTACTGTGATTAAAAAGTTCCTAAAGAATTCTACCAATGCGTAATTTGTTTTTCAATTTCTACTTTATATTTATTATATGGACTGAGTATAAGTGTGTGTTTGTGGGTAGCAACATCTTCCTTTATTTTAAACAGCTAATTCCTCTTACCACCCTGCCCACACATCCTCCAAATCTTAACACTATGTATCAAACAAACCCAAGACATTTTACATTTCACCTCCCTGTTCCCAATCAATGTTCCCAAATCATGCTCCAATTCCAGTGGTGCAAGACCTAACTTATCCCAGCTGGAATTCAATTTCTTGAACATGACTAACCAAAATGGAACAGATACAGTTTCTTTGCAATGGCATCAAAATCTCCCTGTTTGACAGGAAATACTTGATCTACTCTATCTGAGGACCAGGACCTAACTTGATTTTTTTTAACAGCTATATTGGCAGCTCATAGTCATCCTATGATTTGTGAGGATGCCAAGGTTCTTCTCCAATCTCTTCTAACAATAAAGTCAAAGTTTCTAGTTTGGGTTATAGGTCTCAAAGCACCTAATCATTCTGTATCCTTGAATTTCATCCCAGTCTTTAGTATTTCTTTAGCCATCCAGCTCTTCCCTGCTGTGTCCTTAGCATATTCCTAATGCATCAAAATTCCATTCTAGCCTACATGAAAATATAACATTAAGTCTGTAGGATAAGACCAATCAATGTCAATTACTCTCAGACCATCTCTTGTCCAGCAAGAAGGTTGCTGCTAAACCAGAGGACACCAGCAGCAGATAAACACCTTCCCTGCTGCTCAGCCTGAGCACTTCACAAAGCAAACCACAAAGTACATTACACACTCTGGTCAAATCCTCTGAGTCACCATCAGCAATGACCTTGACTCTGCAGAAATCTTCCCAATACTGCAATATCTACAGCCACCTCTTTTCTCCATGGATGCCAGCACATTTTACAGCTTTGATATAAACCCACGTCTTTAACAAAATCTTGTGTACTATAGCTCTTATTTAGTAAAAATAAACCAAACCTTTAATGTTAAGTTAATCAGACCTGGTAATAAAAACCATATACATTGGGGTAATGCTATGAAAATGAAGCTGAACTGTATTCCTTGTATGAAGCATTATGGAAGCGCTCTGAAGCAAGGTTAAGAAATTAAGCCTATAGAGAAAGATGAACACACTGCAACAGGAATGTGGTGTCTCATTGACCAGTCAGGTGTTCAGTAATTTTTGATGTAACACAGGCTAGTCTAAATAAGACTGAAATAGGTATTAGAAATTTCTACAAATATGTAGTAGAAAATTCTATTGACTGCCTATTTAGCCACCTAGCCAAATTACCTATTACTTTTCACCTCTCATTTTTATTAACTTTACTACTCAAGTAACTCTATCTTTTAAAGTCAAACATTTTTCTAAAAATACCACAAAAATGGTTGGCTAAATGAAACAGAAAAAAGAAGGAAAAACAAAGACTAAGATATTCTACTACTCACTTTAGAACCCATTATTTCAACTCCAGTAGAGCTTCAAGTGGTTGAACCTGGACAGGACTACAAATTAGTCAGCACAGTATATAACAAAATTATTATATATTTGGGGTCTTTAGACAAAATAGAATGATTTTATTTTTACAAGAGCCCTGGCAGCAACATTTACATTTTACTTGGTGGTTAAAGAAAAATCCTGAGGATCTCCTGAAAATATTTCAGCAAGTAAATAAACTCTATATTTTTATCAGACAGTGTGTGTTATTTCTGGGAAATTGTTCTTGTACCTAAACCCTCTTTCCTATTTTATTCCTTAGTGTACTCTCATAAATATCATTGCAGTGGTGCTGCCATAACTATCTTGCATACACTGGTCATAAAAACAAAACAAAAAAAAAAAAACAAACAAAAAAAACCACCACCAACAACAACAAAAAAAAAACCAACAAACCTTTTACAACTATCACTTGAGCCAGTATAGTTATAGATCATGTAACAAGGAATACTTTTTTCTTGACCAGGATTGGTCTGGAATGCACTCCTACATAAGGAAAACCTTTGTAGCTTGTTTAAGAGTCCACATGAGAAATATGGAAATTTGAACAGATTCATGTAAAATCACAGCAAAGTAATGCAGAAGCAAATGTGAAAAAACATGAACAATGACCACCTCTGGATTTAATTAGTCTACTGTGCAGCTCACACCCACATCAATGTGCACGGGGAAGATGCTTGCTGTATATTCTCGTGTTTGCTGTTTACTGATGACATCCTTCTGTATCTTTGGACGAAGAAAAATGGTGATGAAAATAAGAGCACTGCAAAAATTAAGTAAAATGATCCATTACAATAAAGAAAACTTTTTTTAATCTACTATTTTCTGAGAAGATGTTAATGATTGTTCTTGACTGCAAACCCACTCTGTTGCAAAAGACTTTTCAAATGCTTCATCTGATAGAGGGAGAGTGACTGACACAATCAAGTGGCATATCACTTTTAAAAAATGTTCAGATATTTTGAAAGGAAATGATGCACCAAAATGTAGCAAGGGCATATGAACAGAATTATAGTGCTTTGCTTCAGACCTGGTACATAGAAGTCCATTAATTCTATTTTATTTCTTTACCATTAAAAAAAAAATCCAATTAAAAAAAAAAAAGTAGATTTTTTTTTCCCCCGATTTAATTCTGGATAGACACTATTTCCAGGGAAGTATGATAGCTGGAAGCTGTATGGGGCTTACATATACAAAGCCCTATGCTCACAACAATGTTGCTTTGGGTATTCCACATATACATCTTTTGAGATATGAGGCTCAGAGCATCTGAAGCAAAATTAAAATGCTGCCAGTTTTCATATCAATCAGAACATTTTTCATCTTCTTTCCACCTCTGAAGTCACATTGCTACATAGGAATTAAATTCACTTCCAAAGAGTGGAGAAAAATAGAAGATGATCCCACCACCTATCTGAAAACAGAAGATGCAACAAACAAGAGCTGGTCTTAGAAAATAAAAAATGTATTTAAGTACAGTTTAAACTATTTTGTTCTAGGCTTGGCTTATGTTTTTAAAGGTTTGAAGCACTGACTGATTACTGGAGCTGGAGTTGGACTGGATGACTGTTCAGAGAGGATATGCTGGTAACTTTGCCTCCCTTCTTCCACTACAAAGCCATGTTTAGGACAGTCATGGCCTACGCTGTTGATTTCGCAGCCTGCCCGGGCACCTCAATTAACCTTCACTCCCTGCAGCCACCGTCCACACCTGCTCACAGCTCACGGACAGGAGGGTGCGCAGCCACCTTCAGTCGCCCCTCCGTGACTGCCCCCGGCTCTGCCCCCGCACCCCTACTACGGGTGCAGGGACTTTTCCCTCGACAGCAAACGCGTGGGAGCAGTACAAGCTGCATGCAGCAAGGGCAGTGCCGTGACCCCTCCCAAATGCGTCTCACCCTGCCATTTTATCATTTTCACACGGTGAATGATCACGCGTGGCGAGGACCACTGCTGAGAGGGTTTGCCACTGCCTCACCACGGCCCCAGCGCCACCCACCTGTGTTCGCACTGCCTGGAACACAGTGTGATACCGGCCCTGTGCCGGCACACTGACCAGACACACCCCAGCGGTGCGGGACGGGGGGTAAAGGCCTCCTCCCTCCCCCGCTGCTCCGGGCAAGACGGGAGAGGGGAGAGAGGGGAGAGAGGGGAGAGAGCCGGGCTCTGCGAGCGGGCAGGGGCAGAGCAGGCAGGGGCAGCAGCGGCGCGGGGGACGCGCCTGAGGGGCGAGGGGGCGGCGAGGGGGCGGCGAGGGGGCGGCGAGGGGGCGGCGAGGGGGCGGCGAGGGGGCGGCGAGGGGGCGGCGAGGGGGCGGCGAGGGGGCGGCGGCGCCCCGTCCTCCCCCTGCTGGCGGCCGCGCCCCGTCGGGCCGGCCCCGTCCCATCCCTCGATCCGCGCCGGGCGGTACCTGCGCGGGGTGCGAGGCCGCGGGCGGCTCCGCGATCCACAGCTGCTCTTTGAGGAGGTGCTGGTAGCTGAGGCAGTGCTTCAGCGCGGACGGCACCGTGCCCATGGCTCGCCCGGCTGCCGCCGCCGCCGCCGCAGGGTGGGCGCAGCCTCCGGCCCGCGCGCGAGCAGCCCCGCGATTGGCGGAGCGCGAGCGCCGCCGCGTCCCCTCCCGCGCGGCTGCGGCGGCCGCCGCCTCACGCCCGCCGGCCCTGGGGCTCGCCCGGTGCCTCTCCTCGCCCTCTGCCCCCCTCGCCTCCTGCTCCTCTTCGCCTTCTGCCTCTTTTCCCTTCCTGCCCCCCTCGCCTTCCCGTCTGAGGAGCCGCGGCTGTGGGTGGCCGCGCTGGCTGCGGGCTGGGCTGGCGCCGCAGCAGGCTGCAATCGGGGCTGCGTGCGGGAGAAACCGCTGAGGAGAGCCGGGAGGGCCGAGCGTGGGGACAACCAGCCGTGCTGCGCCCGCACGCCCGCGGGACACCGGGCCCAGCCTGACTGACAAGGCTTCAGGCATCAGAGGGGAAAGAGAGGAGCAAGGGGAAGGGACAGGGCTGCTTCCAGACGTGTCCTGTTCGACATCCCTGGGCTGTGCAAACCATGCAAGATAAACGAGGTCGTGCTCACTCGGGCGCCCAGGTGACACGAGGCTTCGTGCACACACTGGCATTTCTGCTTTACATTTAGACAGCGAAAACTTAGAGCTTTACAAATGCACTGTTCAGGTTTCGACAGCTCTCTCCACAGCAGCAAGTTATATTTTGTCGGCTCCCTTACATTCATTGTGTCAGCCAACTTTCCAAACTCCTCCCAAGCAAAAATTGTTTCTGGATCATTCGTTTTCTGGGGTATCAGGGATGTTTTGTTAAATTTATTAGCCTTTCCATCAATCATTTTTCTGCAAAAGGTTATCATGTTTACCACCAAGTCTCTGTTTCAGTCCACAGATAGATATGATGCTCAAACCCCCATCTTTCTTTTGCAGTTTTGCATTTCATCCTTGTTGTTCTGTGCATCTAAAAATTGTATTTTCATAGCCATCGTAAACCAAAACTGGATGCTGATTGATTGGCTGGGAAGCTTTTGTCCTTCAAGGATAACCATGGCTTTTCAGAAATAAGATATTTAAAATCCAGTGTAAAAGTTTAAAAACATTACTGGTAGTCATCTCTGCAATTTCAAATCTGGCCACTGAAAAGTGCCAGGAAGTTTTTTTACTGACTACTATCTGATGCAGTTAGTATATTTTCTGCCTTTTTCCAGTAAAATATTTGTGAATGCAACATTCTTTTATTTTCACAGTTCAAAATTCCACCAAGCTTTCCTTAAATGCTGTCTCTAGGTATTTGCTTTGGTCTTGTTACCTATAGTTAGGGATAAAATATAGAGAAGCTGGCAAAAAAATCATGCCTTTCTTTTTTGTCTTGCAGTGAGAGAACGCTTATCGATGATGTGGTATATGTGAAGGGAAAGGCACTTTATTAAGATTAATAATTTCATTTTCACTTTTCTGTACATTTCAAAGCCATATGGAAAAAGGATAACTGCAATCACAAGAAAGTTAGGACTATGTCTATGAATAAAGTGTACCTCTCCTACCTACCTCACCTGTTCTCGAGTTACTTCAGTTTCAAAGTCAAATTTCTTATGGCCTTTAATCATCTTTTTTACAAATACCTCTGAAATTAGCTGCATTGTAATGCTCTGCAGGCAGCTTATATATCAAACTGCTATTTTCTGCACATTAAATCCCTTCTAATGGTATTGTTTTTATGTCTGTTACTGTTTTGTTTTTGTAGGGCTTAAAACCTCAGTGGCCTCTTCCAGCCTACATCTAGTGTGGGTGTTTACTATCACAAACCTGCTTCAAGACTCAGAGCACCACCATATATTCTGAAAAAGAATATCTTTACCTGAATTCCTGGTGTTGTTGGGCAGAGAAGGAAAATACAACAGATACATTCTAAAGTAATCCCAAATTGAGTTCTCTTGCAACAGTTTCTCGTTATTTCTTTTCTGTTCTACATCTTATTCTCCCTGAAATCAGAATTTGTTTTTCACCCTTGCCAATTTTGCATAGAATTTTTCAACTGGTCATTCAAAATGCAATGAGTTGTTTCAAAAACAAGAGACGCATAAATAAAGCACATTCATTTGAAATACGCATGTTTCTTGGGAGAAGGGTGTGATAATCTTTCTATTGAAAAAGGCCCTGTGTGTTAAAACCTCTAGAGCTAAACTGGATTGTTATTGCTAAACAAGAGTCACATTGGACAGCACAGAGTGAAAGAAGCTCCAAGAGGATTGTGTTTTAGGCACACACAATCATCTTGATACTCTTCTTTGCTTGCAGAGGCTACAAAACTTACTCCACCCCACTTTATGAGTTAACATGAAGGCAGATACCCTTGTCCTGTGATAGTACCAGTATATTTACTAGCTGAAGGGTTTGCAGGGTCAGGTAAAGAATAACGGGCACTTCTGGCAGATCTTTCTGTAACAGCATATGGGCCTCTCATGGTCTGGACTTTTATGTGCCCTGTGCTGTTCCTTATTTTGATTCTGTGTATCTTTTGTTCAACAATGGCATTTTGGAACAACTTCAGTTCACTAGAACACATGGAAGGGCTCAGATGTGTTTAGTGCTGTATCAGGATGGTGAGTAGAAGTTGTGCACAACTGGCTTTTGGCTTTCCATTTGTCTCTTAAAACTGTTTATCATTCTGATACTCCTCTGAATTTATCATTGTCATTGGCTCACACTGCATTCTGGTCAAAGGTTTTAAAATGTTTATTAAAAGGAATGCTTTTGACTAAAATAAATAATCTCTCAAAGAAATCATGCCGTCAAGCCAACCAGATGGGGAAAACAGGCATATTTGTGTAATATGCAGAGTAACTCAAACACTACCACAAGAGATGTTTCTGTACTTCTTATTGTTGCCATACAGTTACACAGGTAGTTGGCAGTCAGATCATTAGGAGTGGAAACATAAAGCTGTTGGATTTCCTGCAGTGTGACACAAAACCTTGGCCAAGAAAGGCATGGTAAAAATAGATTGATCATTTATAAGCATCTGAAAGAAAATAAGAAAGTTGTTTAAAGAGTGATTTGATGACAGCAAGAAGGACAGAATCAGAAGCAAGGGAGCTATTCATACTGATGATAATCATAAGTGCCAAACTGGCAAGCAGCCAAAGTGCCTACTAGGCAGGGATCAAAGACACATATGGTGAGTCTCAAACAACAAGTAAGCCATAGAATTCTGGCAAGCATTGCAGGAATAATATGCTCCAGCCCTGACAAAGATGAGGGCTAAAAAAAAAAAACAATGGGGCTACCAATACTGGATCATACCTCAGGGAAAGCAAAGCTTTCATCATTTCAGTTTTATTGGAGAAAAATGTAGATAACTTCTCACATATGGTAGGTCTGGTTGATCTAAATTGATGGGACGTGTAACACAATGTTAAAAAATATCCTTTACAGTTGTGGCAGTAAATCAGTATTCCATTAGCTGCAGCATCATTCAGAGACGGCATTCTTCAGAGAGTTAGTAATAGATTTACTTTGCCAAAATAAAACTATATCCCAGGTGATAGACACCTGGCATTTGAAACAGATACAATCAAGAAGAAAGTCCAAGTTAATGTCTTCCCAGATGTTGGAGCTTGTTCTTTTCTATTCTTTGACTAATTTGGTCAGATGGCAGGGTTTATGACAACTAGACAACAATGTAAAACAAGCAAACACAAAAAGGGACACATTTTATCTTTATTCTCATGCTACTATGCAGCATCAAAAAGGAAAAGAAGGAAATTCTGTGAATTTAGACCTGGTTTCATAGTTATACACCCATACACAGAGTCATTAAAAAGGGGATGTGTCATAAGCTGTGTTATTTTACATTTGTAAAGGGTGCTGACTTTTACACTGGCAGGAATGGTACTTGGCAGCCCTTGAGTCTATGGGTGGTCTCCAAGGTACCAGCCCTGCATAGCTACCTAAAATTGTTATGAGGCATATCAAGGACAGCAGAGAATTGTAGCAGAAAGTGTTTATTTATGGATAACATTTTCCATTTGAGACATTTTCATTACTGACAAAAATGCTGCTGAGCCAAATGTGTCCCTTGTCAGACTCCATCATTTAGAACTGTGATTTCTTTGTCTCAGCGACCTGACCTACCACTCGACAGTATCAGGAGAAACTATGAGCCAATTCCTGAATGGATTTTCAAGGTGCTATTACAATATTTAAGAATATATTTCCTTTTCAGAGCAAGTGTTTTGCCTACTGTTACACAGACTTTTTTTCCATCTCTTTTTTTCACATCAATGTACTTAGTATCTCCATCTCCACCTAGTCTTCTCTGCCAATAAATGCTGATGTGATTTTTTATAGGGATTATAAGGTGCAATATGCAGTGACCTCTGATTTCCTTCCTCTCTTTATGTTATTAAGAGACAACAAAATAGTACTGATTTTCAGTGAAGCTGGTTTTCTTGTTTTTCAAAAAAGTGACCCTTTTACTTCATATAGGATAAACTATAAATTACTCTTAGGAAATATTTATTGGATAAAGAAATGCTGTAACACCTTTTATGCTATATCCATTGTTTCTCAAATAGAGAGTTTTTATCAGAGTTTAGTCAAAACAGGACAAAACAATAACCACCTAAAAATTGTACCTGCAGTGTATTCTGGAAGTGGTGCTTTCCAAACAGGAAAAAAACAGTTAAAGACCTGAACCTTTTCTGTTCTCTTAGGGAGCAATTCTTCTGATTTGTTTTAGATATATATATTTTAGTATCAAATTAACTATCTTCTACAAACCATATGCAACTTCTCTATTTCAAACTTGTCCAGCAATTGAAAATTAATTAGGCATTATCCAATAAAGCACAAATGTATGTGGATGCTACAAACCCAAAAGCTAAATGTACATGTTCTTTTTAAATTTTAATATTCTAATTACTAAGCTAACATGCAAAACGTATTTTGTGACCATACCAGGAATAAGTGTTTGAGGGTTTTTTGCCATATAACTGATCTTTTAAAATTACTTGCAATATG